AAAGAGTTAATTTAGTTCATGATGTAATCATTTCGAAGCGATTAGAGGCCTTCTGCAAGCTGACCTGTAGTTACCAGCACGATGTCTGCCCAGCTTTCACGGCTCAGCACGATATCCTGTTCATCCGATGGAAACAGTTTGTGCACTGGCAAAATGTTTCAGGCACAACTGGCGTAGTTTGGGACAAACAAACAAACGGGTTACAGACCAACCTGCGAGAGAGAAACCTAAACTCTGAGGGCAATTTAAGAGGCAGTGTTTACCACAGCACAGCCCAGTGTAGATTTAAGGAGATTTTTACAGGTTTTAAATAAAATGAAAAATGTCACATTTGTTTTGACAGAATGCATTTTTCCCCAAATCGAACTTCGTTTGTCTCTCCAGCAGCTTTTTCCTTGTTGTGTTTATTTTCTCACGTAATTCTAAAAAGTTTAAACCTGATTGTTACTGATTATATTTACACTAAATGTCTGATAAGTTATGTAATACATTGAGTAATTTGTCAGTTTCACAGTTCTGTTCATGCTTTCCTCCTGTACAGGACAAGCTTCTGGATGCCTCCACAGTGACTCACCTTTTCAGAATAACAGATAATATTGGATGTGTAATGTCTGGGATGACAGGTAAGAAAAAGGCTCAAAATGTGTAAAATTGTATCAAATCTACTATTGTTACATAAAAATTGAACATTAAAACACCCAAATCCATTTAGTCTTTCAAATATACAGAAACAGCTGTTTAGACAAAGGCTGGTTTTTGATACATAAAAGGGGGAAAAGCATCAGGGTACTTTTCTGGGTTAAACTTGGCGAACCTTTCTTCTCAGTCCGAGCTCTTACGGCAGCTGACAGTTCCTCTTTCCAAGTAATCATTTCTTTTGCAGCAAGAACAATTTTCTTACATAAGTGTGATGTTAGAGACTGGAAGTGTCACATTTATTGGCTTCTTTGGGAAAAGAAATTGACCTTTATTTATTTATTTTTCTTACACATCATTTAATGTGTTACAGCCGATAGCAGGTCCCAAGTCCAGCGAGCTCGATATGAAGCAGCCAACTGGCAGTACAAGTACGGTTATGAGATTCCAGTGGACATGTTGTGTAAGAGGATTGCTGATATCTCACAAGTCTACACGCAGAACGCTGAGATGCGACCACTGGGCTGCTGTGAGTATGCGCATTCACACTGCTGATTCTCCACGTAGCACTTCATGTCGTTTGAGCGCCCTTTCTAAATGCAAGCTAACACGCAGGTATGATCGTGATCGGCGTAGATGAAGAGTACGGCCCTCAGGTGTACAAATGCGACCCAGCAGGCTACTATTGTGGTTTCAAGGCCACGGCCGCCGGAGTGAAGCAGACAGAAGCCACCAGCTTCCTGGAGAAGAAAGTGAAAAAGAAACTGGATTGGACCTTTGAACAAACAATCGAGGTATCATAAAATATT